CAGAGCCCGACGCGGGGCTCAAACTCACAGAACGTGAGATCGTGACCTGAGCTGAAGTCAGACGCTTAACCGACTGAGCCACCCAGGCGCCCCAAGTATTATTTTATTTGTGGAGAGAAATGGTATATGGGGCAGGGTCCTAATTTTAAATTCAAACCAGTGGTACAGTCTACTACACTCTAGTAAGTCAGAGAACACATCCTCTTCTCCAGTTGTGCTGTTTATTTTGGTAATTATTGCTGACTGTCCCCTCCAGTCACCAGGGAAGAAGGCAGCTGCTGTGTAATAGGATCCCAAGGAACTGACTTTGCCCAAGGTCACTGGTGAGTCACTGGGCTGGATTTGTTTTGAAGGCCCTGGCTCTTCCTGTCTACCTGCCCATTGCTCTCACCCCCTCCTCCTGCAGGCAGGAGGGTTAAAGTGGCTTCTGGACAGTTCCCTTCTTCTGTCTCATCCTCCATCCCTTCGCCCCTCACTGGAGTCCCAGCGAGTCAGAGGCACTTCCCCATTGCCCCAATCCTTCTCAGAGTTCATCTATCCCACCTGCACAGCTCACTGTGACTTTTTAGCTTCCAGACAGGCTTCTGACACAGGACTCCAACAGGGCCCTCTAGTGCCTGGCTGGGTATTACCACAGATACTAAAGGTTCTAGCTGAGCTGCCCCTGGGGACAGGCCCGGCAGGCATTGAAAGTGCCAGCTGCATTAGTCACCACTCAGCAGGCACACTGGCCCTCCCTGGAAGGGCCTTGATCTTCGTGGCTTGTTGTCAACTGTGATTCATTGACTTCAAATCCCAAACTTCCTCATTCTCCAAAGATGCTTCCTGAAGCTGTGAGCTGCCCTTTGCTGGCCACACTTGATAGCAGGGACTGGGGCTCAGAAGGAACAATTATCTGGGGCTCTGCTGCCTGGGGCCACTAGCAGTCTGAGCATATCTATGGACCTGGGCCCAGGGTGAAGAGCTGTGTGAGAAGCAGGCACCCCCTGGAGAGTGGAAGAATTCAGGACCAAATCTTTTGAGCCAGCCAGCATTTGCCAAAGCCTTCTGGGGCTCTGCAAGTGACAGCAAGAGGGTGAGTGGCTTTGCCTCAGGATCACCAACTTGAGCTGGAATGCTGAGGCCACAAGGGATAAGCAGCACAGCTTTGGCTGGGCTTGTGAGAAAAACTCTACTAGAATGGGGAGATAATAAGCCTTGGACAGCTCCAATAGAAGGAAAAAGAAACCTAGAGTGCGCAAAGTACAGTGCTAAGAGTGGAGGTCCACCACCACCTGAGCCTGAGACCTTTGTGAAGTGAGGTTAGGACGTTAGGACAGTACTTACCAAAGAAAGATATTCGGAAGAAACTAAAGCCAGACATGGAGTGTGCTTAGCACAACGCCTGGCACTCAAGCAGGGGGCTGAGAAACAGGAAGGCACTGCTCCAAAGCCTGCCGGCCCCATCTACTCCCCTTCACCTGCAGAGACCTGGTAGGGTCTGTTCTCCCTCTGGTAGCAACTATAGGCATCAGATCTGTGCCCCACAGCTCTGCTCCCTCCTGAGATACGGAATATCCCAGGCTTTCATGCTAGGACATGGGTTAGGCCCTAAGGATCAACATAATTGCACAGGAAAGCCCATGCCTAAAGGCCCATGGGGTACCAAAAACCCAACAGGTACAGAGAAAAGGAAGAAGAGAAGCCATCAGGGACCTCCTGATTCCTTGCCTTGTTCTCTGAGAGTTCATGAGGCACCACTGGCACCTTCCTTATTAATGGACGCCCACATGTTCCTAGCTTGCAATGGCCAACAAGGTGGCCACGGAAAAGTAGATGGGGTAAGATCGCTAAATGCATGAATAAATGTAATGTAAAGATCAAGGCAACATGCTTTATAAAAGACCAAATCTGGCTTGAAAACTACTTAGAAAGGGTAAATATATACGTCAACAAAAGAGAACCTGCATCAAGAATTTGTTTTTATTTTTTAAATGCCTTTGACAAGGATGCACACCAACGTGGAACACTCATGAGATCATTCTCTATGACACGCAAGTAAAACAAAGGTGAAGAAACATAGGAGACAGCATCATTTTATACTGGACTCGACAGATGTCAGCAGGCTGAGCTCTGCCCCCAGTTGTGTGACCCTGGAGAGATCACTTCACTTCTCTCAGACACAGCTTGCTGGGCCTCTGAAATAAGGACATGGGACCAGAGTGCCTCTCCCTCCATCACACAGATTCTGTGAGCCTCTCCAGGAATTATTTGAAAGGGGGGAAGCACCATGAACTCTCTCCCAGTTTGCAGGGGACAGGTTACACTGGAACAGCAGATGATCAGTGGCAAAGATCTAGATGAAGTAATGGAAAGGCAGCAGCTGTGCTCCAAGGTAGGTAGTGTGCTGAGGGTAAAACCATCCAGGCTCTACTCAAGCTGGATGGCTTTTCTGCCACCAGCTACACGCCAGAGAAAAAGCTGCACGTCACGAGGCCTCCATCATGTGTATAACTTGGGTCTCAGTGAGCCCAACCAGCAAATTTCATCACGGTGAAATGTAGAAGTAAACAAGAAACCCCCATCCTGTTCTCTACAAAACTATCCTAAAACATCGAAAACTCCAGAGAGATTCAAAACAGCAAGAGAACTCTTAGAGAAAGACAACATTAGGCTCTAAGGATAGGGTTTTTCAGACTGGGCCTGCAGAAGTGGCATATAATCCAAAGCACAGGAGAGAATTTGACCTTTTCACTAAATCCCAGTGCCGGAATCCTTAAAGAGGCAAAGTGGAGATAGCTAATGCTTCCGATACATAGGGAAGTAAACATCTGGAATGCATCACAGATGGGGGTGGCCCAGGGAGAAAATATGAAGACCTTCATAAACGGTTCAAAAGACCTTGGAGGTAATGAACTGTGCTGTTACTAAGGGCTTTGGGGGATTCTCTGACCATTTTGGGGGTAGAAGCCAGGCAAGTGCAGTCCTGCTTCCCACCACACAGCCTTTACTTTCATTACTGGGAGACAGGGCTGGGCAGGATAACCTATGAGGTTCCCTGGGACAGCCCCCCCCCACGCCCACACCCACCTCCGGAAATTTTGGTCTCCCCTGTGCCCAAGTAAAGAGAACAGTCCCTTTCTCCTCTCCTGGCCACCGGGCTAGGAAGCATGATGAAGAACAAAGCAATCTTACTTCACTCGAGCCCACCCGCTTGTCAAGGTTCCAAGAGACAAATTCCGATCGTTTTACCGAGGGGGCAATAGAACTGACTTCTGGTTATCGAAAATGCCATAAACTCCCTTTTTCTCTAGCAAAAACCCAGTTATGATAGAACTCTAAAATATCTATTGAAATCTGGCCACACTAAAAGTTCCTCTTCCTCCCTCCATCTGGCTGCCCCCAAAGAAACCTTCCTATATTCCGTAGGTTCCTCATAAAGGGGCAGCTAATTGTGATGCCTAGCACCCTTATCAGTTCTCGATATACAGCGCCCTTCCTTAGGCAGAATCCTAAAATAACAGCAGTCCAGATTAGCACGGCGTGTGAAGTAGGTGCCTGGCTGAATAACATCAGAATTAATGAGGGGCCAGACCCCAAACAGAGCCACCTGGTGGGCATGTACACCAGGCAAGAATGGGGGTGTTTTCTTAAAGCCAAGTGCCTGCCCCTGGCTATCTCTGCTCCAGCCCGCACCGCATTCTGTTCTCCACCAAGGAGGTCCCTATCGCTCAGAAAGAAGAGGGCCGGCGCGCAGCGCCCTCACCTTTCAGCAGGTCCGGGTGCACGTAGCCCAGCACGTCGGAGACCCCCAGCTCCTGACGAGAACAGGTGCCACCGTGGATGTGCAGCCAGGCAGGCTCCGCGAGGGCAGTGCACAGCGCCGTGATGGACAGGGCACCCGGCAGAGCCGAGGCCAGACTACGCTCCGGCTGCTTGGGCAGAGCGCTGCCTCCAGGGCTCCTCCGCCGGCGCCCGCCGGGCAGCCCTGCGCCTCCGGGGGCGTACATGCCCGGGGCCGCCCGCCGTCGCTCCGCGGTCGCTGCTGTTCGCCGCGGACCTCCGCAGGGCGCGCTGAGCCTGCCTGTCCCGGGGAGGAGAGCAAGGCACTGGGTTCACAGAAGGGGGGGCTGGCGCAGCGCTGTCAGGGCCCACACTCGAGAATAGGGGGTGGGACCTGGGGCCAAGCATAGACAGGAGGGCTGCAGGGAGTCGGGGGGCGGGGACAGGGTCTCTGGAATTGGGCTGCGGAGGTGAGGAATAGGGACCCGGAGAGGGATGAGGGCCGGCCAGGTCTGGGCAGGCCAGAGTAGAGGCGCTAGTATCTGCTACTGATGAGAGAAAGACCCGGGGTCTCGGCCAGAGAGTGCCGAGTGGTAGAGGACCGGGCTGGGCCGCGGGGATCGGGGACCCGGGATCTGGAAACAGTCCTCTCGGGGTGCGACCTGTGGCCAGAAAGGAGCCTCCCCTACACCGACTCCTGTTCCTCACCGGTCAGCAGGCCTCAGGGCCGGTATGGCGCCGCTCAGTTCTGTCAGGGGCTCCGCAGCTGCCGGGGGCCGAGCGATCTCAGGCCCCAAACCCGCAACGCCCGGACCGACCCGGGCCCGATCCACTTCCGGCTTCCTCCACCTCTGCCTCCGCCTCCTCCGGCTCCCCGCCCCGTCCCCCGCGCGCGTCACAGCCCGGGCGCGCCGCCGGCTCCCTGCGCAGGGCCTCACGGGACTGGTAGTTCGAGACTGTCCCGCGGTGCTTTCCTCCTGGGGTGGGGGGGAAATTGACTACAACTCCCAGAGGGCAGCACGGCCGCAGCAGCGGGCACTTCAGTTCCCAGGAAGACCCGGGCCTTCGGGCGGAAGTGGCGGGACCCGAAGGCCTTGGAAGGCCGGAGTGGGCGTCGCGGGGGTTTGCACCAACTGACTCGTAATCGGCGCTCCTGCATCTGCCCACCTCCTCGGCACCCTGCTCCGGGTCGTCATGAAGGACTCGCTGGTGCTGCTGGCCCGCGTCCCGGCACACCCGGACTCCCGCTGCTGGTTCTTGGCCTGGAACCCCGCGGGAACCTTGCTGGCGTCGTGCGGTGGTGACCGTAGAGTCCGCATCTGGGGAACAGAAGGTCTGTCCCGGCCTCGCTGCGCGACCCTTGCTGCCGTGGGTTCCGCGTGCGCGTAGTGTGGGTGCCGGGCTTAGGGAGTGCGCAGCCTTGGGGGCAAGCCGACCCTGAATGGGGTTACAGGCTAAAGGGGAGGAGGGAGAGGCCGCCTTCAAGTTGGCCACTCTGGGAAAGACTTTTTGGGCAAAGGAGTCGGCAAGTATTGGAAGAAAAACGTCAGTAGGCTGGAACTGTCGAGGGGATTGTGATAATTGCTGAGGCCAGAAAGGGAGAAGAGAAGGGTGGTAGGAATGTATCGTGCAGAGTAATTTACGACACAGGGGTGAAGTTTAAATTTTATTCTGAGAGCATTTGGGAGCCATTGACAGTTTTAAATCAGGAAGGTGACTCCCCAGATTTGTTTTATAAGGATGCCTCCAAAGGAAGTAGAGGAAGTTACAGCTTTCTGAAAGCATGTTGTTAAATATGCCTGTTGAGCCCAGCATGGCTCCCGCACTAGCCCCTATTATCTAACGGCATTGATAGTGCTTCTGCACGTTCTAGTGCACCCAGCTCCAGAGACTGGCCTGTCCTCTGCTTTTAGGTGACAGCTGGATCTGCAAATCTGTCCTTTCCGAAGGCCACCAGCGCACTGTGCGGAAGGTGGCCTGGTCTCCCTGTGGCAATTACCTAGCCTCTGCCAGTTTCGATGCTACCACGTGCATTTGGAAAAAGAACCAGGATGACTTTGAGGTAACCAGGCTGGATGGGAGCAGGATTGTTGCCTTTTTGCTCCCTAGGGCTGTTTCGGGAACCTGAGCCAACCTGGACTAGCTGGGCTATACCCATGTGAAGAACCCCAGGGGTCTCAGCTGTTTGATTCTTGTCTCTCTTCCCTTTATCACAGTGTGTAACGACTCTGGAGGGCCATGAAAATGAGGTCAAGTCAGTGGCCTGGGCTCCTTCTGGCAATCTCCTTGCCACCTGCAGCCGAGATAAGAGTGTGTGGGTCTGGGAAGGTGAGTCTAGGTCCTTCCAGACGCAGTTGCAAGCCAGTAAACAGACTCTATATCCCTGACAGGGTCAGATGGTGGGCTCCTTTTTTTTTCCCCCTCCCACAGTTGATGAAGAAGATGAGTATGAATGTGTCAGTGTCCTCAACTCTCATACACAGGATGTCAAGCATGTGGTTTGGCACCCAAGCCAAGAGGTAAGTGTGAGGTGAGCTATCTTGTTGGGAAGAAATTTTGGTGTGGAGTGTTATGCCCAGCCTTCCTTTCCTCTTCAGCCTCAACCTGGCTTTTATGGGGGATCTCTATCTGTGGCTAAAAGTATTTTTAATCCCTTTATAGAGACAGATCCCTGGGACTGTCCTAGCTGGGAGAGATCTTGGAAATAGGCACTTCCTGAGCCACAGAGACAAGTGCTGTGTTCCCTCTCTCCCCCACACCCCCAGCTGTTAGCCTCTGCCAGCTATGATGACACAGTGAAGCTCTACCGGGAGGAAGAGGATGATTGGGTATGCTATGCCACCCTTGAAGGCCATGAATCCACGGTGTGGAGCTTAGCCTTTGACCCCAGTGGCCAGCGCCTGGCGTCTTGCAGTGATGACCGTACTGTGCGTATCTGGCGCCAGTATCTACCAAACAATGAGCAAGGTGAGGGGCCAGAGAGCTAAAGGAGACTCCTCTTTTGTGCGGTTTATAGTCTACTAAGGGTCTGAGACATATAGATGAGTCACAGCAAATTGGGGTAGAAAGGGCATGTGCCACGAGAGGGCTCCCAAGTGAGTACGGGCAGAATCAGGGAAGACTGTGGAAGAGGAGCCATTTCATCCGAATTTGAAAGTGTATAGGATTTTAACACGAGGAATTTAGCATGAGAATTCTGGGTGAATACAGAACAACATGAGCAAAGGCATTGAAGGCGTAAAAGCCTAGATTTATGTCAGGAACCCTGATTCCTTTAGTTGGAGGATAGGGTGTAAAGGATTCTGGGAGAAATAAGGCGGGTTGGGTGGCTGGTTGGTGGCCTTAAAAGACAGGCCAACTAGTCAAACGTAGTCCGTAGCAAAAAGTTTTTAAAAAACAGGACATTTCCTTCTCAGCATTCTGGAAAAACCCATCTGGCCACGGTATGTAAGGCAGATCAGTAAGGATGGGGACAGAGGAATGAAAATGAGGTCTCAGATTGAAGGTGGGGGTAAGGGAGGGCAGACTAGGATCTCCTCCCCTGAGATGCCCGGGACACAGACATGTCTTAGGCTCAAGAGAAGTCTGTTGTGCAGGGGTGGCATGCAGCGGCTCTGACCCCAGCTGGAAATGTATCTGCACTTTGTCAGGCTTCCACTCCAGGACCATTTACGACGTTGCTTGGTAAGACCTCCATCCCCACGTCCGCCCATTTGGAGAGATTTTAGAGAAGTCAAGACCCCGTGCGTCTCTCTACCACCTTTGAGAGTACATGGAAATGGAGAGCAGCCACTTTCATTTATTCAAATCGGGCAGACTATCTAGCTCAGAGCTGGCTGGCCTGAGGTTCACAGGAGCGGGGAACAGACTTACAGACCCAGGCCTGTACCTATGTTAACATCTAGGCTGTGAGGGCAGCACCAGCCTTGTGGTAGGGGTGGGTATGGGGGGTGGTCACGGCATCATACCATCCAGAAATATTTATTCTTGAAATTGGGACTCATGGCTGGGGTTTTTATGGTTGGTTAACACTGACTCTACCCTTATGGAGTCTAGAAAAGCCATACCATTCATCTAGGAGAGTTCGTCAGAGGGCAGTTCTGGCCATAACTATCTGTCTGTAGGAAAAAATCCTAAGCAATGAAAATAGTTGATGTGCATCTAAGCTTTATTTATATTAGCAAACATTTGGGAATAACGAAAGTGACCTTAAATAAAGTATGGTGAAGTTCAGTGGCCTAGTACTGTTCAAAAAAAATGGTTAAGAATAGCTCACGACAAGGGAAACTGCTTAGGCTAAGTGAAGAAGATGCAGCTCAGAATCGTGGAGTTTTGGGGTTGACCGGGGAAACCCAACCTAGATGGCAGCACTTGAATTCAGGGGGGACAGATTTGTGGCTGTGGTTAGTTAGGGAAGCTTTTCAATAATAGGCGTTTAGCTGAGGCCTGCAGTTTGGGAAGAGCTGGCCAAGGACTGTAGAACCAATCTCTTGTGCCTAATTTGCCAGGGTGGGGATGGAGGAGCCACTTGCATACTCACTGATGCACATGTTCCTCCCAGGTGTCAGCTGACAGGGGCCCTGGCCACAGCTTGTGGGGATGATGCCATCCGTGTGTTTGAGGAGGATCCCAGCTCAGATCCACAGCAGCCCACCTTCTCCCTGACAGCCCACTTGCCTCAGGCCCACTCCCAGGATGTCAATTGTGTGGCCTGGAACCCTAAGGAGCAGGGGCTCCTGGCCTCCTGCAGTGACGACGGGGAGGTGGCCTTCTGGAAGTATCAGCGACCAGAAGGCATCTGAGCTACCTTGACCTTGGAGAGCTACCTTGACCTTGGACAGAATCATGGCTTCCCAGAAAATGCCATAAGACTTTCCCAACCCCAAGAGGACCTAGAAAAGCATCCTTTACCTTCGCTTAACTTGGCTCTCTTCCATTCACACTTGGGTAGAAGTACAGAGTCACAGAACTGCTCACTCTCCCCATCCTTTGACATGGGACCCTTGGTAAAGAGCTACAGAACATCCGGTGCATTGTGGTCATGCCACAGATCTTGCTTGCTAGAGGGCAGTGTTAAGTTTTGGGGGATGAATATAGTATTTATAATCATCTTATCTCTATGTAGAAAGGATGCCTCTTAGGCCTTTCAGAAATTGGAAGCTTTGTAGAAATAGGTCATCTGAGTCCCAAGTCCAATTTTATAAGGACATTCACAATTTAAAAGAATTCCATGGTGAGTCCTTTTCTGAAATTGGTCCTGCCTTCCTGATTTCTGGGTAATCCTTACAGATAAGACGTTCAAATCAAGGTTGAAGGAAACTTTTTAACGTAGGCTGGTTTAGAGTAAGATACACTTCTGCTTTCCCTTAGAAACCCTCGTGTATCTTCTGTGCCATATGCTGTGGTGGCAACTGAAAATGCTGAAAAATAAATGACATGAACACTAAAAGTTATTGGCTAGGCTGTACATTCTCAGTGGGGCTAAAAATTAGTTTCTGAAAATTTTAGCAAAAAAAATCGTAAGAGACCGTTTATGACCCTCTAAAGGGCCACCAGTTATTAAATTTTCATGGTGGGGGGCGCCTGGGTGGCTCAGTCGGTTAAGCGTCCGACTTCAGCCAGGTCACGATCTCGCGGTCCGTGAGTTCGAGCCCCACGTCAGGCTCTGGGCGGATGGCTCGGAGCCTGGAGCCTGTTTCCGATTCTGTGTCTCCCTCTCTCTCTCTGCCCCTCCCCCGTTCATGCTCTGTCTCTCTCTCTGTCCCAAAAATAAATAAACGTTGAAAAAAAATTTTAAAAAAAAAAAATTAAATTTTCATGGTGGGGGCAAGTAGGAAAAAGCTGGCTAATAAGGCTCAGAGGCATAATGAAAAGGTAGAGAATCACTCCATAGGCAATCAGTTCTTCAGTGTCACCCAAGTTGTCTTCTGCAAGTCACTTCCAAATGGGTTTTGACTTGAGGACCATCCTCAGAGCTACAGCCTTCGCCTGATTTTTTACACCATGAAAATTATGACCTTAGACTTTGAAAACACACCTGAGGCAACACCTAGCACAACAGCTCTCAGAGTGTGGTCCCAAGAGCCTTTCAGGAGATCTGAGAGGTCAGCTGTTGGCACCTTGGCAGGAATCAAGGCAGTGGCAGCCAATACCAGTGGTCATGGTCTTCAGCTGCCTTGCTCTCCTGGTAAAAAAAAATACTGACTGGTAACCTCACTTAGAAATATCCTGGATAGAACCAATAAAAAGTTTGTTAAATCTTGACCCCTAAGAATGAGCTAATATTCTGACAGTGGAAAGCATGATAAAGCCATTCTGTACACTGAAGTAAGGTGGTCTCGACAAAAAGTTGTACAGTTGAGTTACAAGCTGAATTAGATCTTCATGGCATACCATTTTTACTTCAACTAGCAAACTGTTATTTAGAATTGGCTATTTGGCAGACATTTGCTGGGAAACAGATGGAATGAGACTTTCACTTCAAGGGAAACTGACAGTGTTGCCAGTGAAAAAATAGAGCTCTCAAGCAAAAATTAGACTTTTATTGCCACCATGAACTTGACATCTTCCCAACACTTAAGACTTTTCTGATGAGATTGGTGGTACTAACAGATGTGATTTGTATGGTGAAACGGGTCATTTGGAAGATTTGCCTAAATCCATGAACCAACATTTTTCAAATGAGTAAGGCGCGATGTCACGAAATCATTCGTGGGTAAGAGATTCATTCGAAGCGGGTTTTGACAATAGAGGACAAAAAGTTTATTACTGATGAGGTTTCAGATTCCACATTGCCTTTAAAAAACTATCACTTGCAGGGGCGCCTGGGTGGCTCAGTTGGTTAAGCATCTGACTTTGGCTCAGGTCATGATCTCACGGTCCGTGAGTTCGAGCCCCGCGTCGGGCTCTGTGCTGACAGCTCAGAGCCTGGAGCCTGTTTCAGATTCTGTGTCTCCCTCTCTCTGACCCTCCCCTGTTCATGCTCTGTCTCCCTCTGTCTCAAAAATAAATAAAGGTTAAAAAAAAAAACTATCACTTGCAGAGTCTCGCTGTAGTATCTAGTAGCCGATCGCCTGAAAGGCTTGAAAAGCCCCTCCCTTTTCTGACTTTATGTCTGTATAAAATCAGCTTTACGTCATTTCGCTTCAACTCAAAACAATATACAAAATTGTAGAAACAGCTATGAGAATGTCTTCCATTAAACCAGACATTAAAGATCTGTAGGGGCGCCTCGGTGGCTGTCAGTTAAGCATCTGTCCAACTCTTGATTTTGGTTCAGGTCATGATTTCACAGTTCGTGGGATTGAGCACCCCCCACCCCCCACACACATTGCGCTCTGCACAGACACAGAGCCAGCTTGAGATTCCCTCTCTTTCTCTCTGTCCCTCTCCCACTTGCATTCTCTCAAAATAAAAAAAAATAAAAATAATTGTAGAAGTGTAAAATGCAGTCTTCTCCCTGGATTTGTTTTGGAAGGTATTTTTCATAAAAAATTATTTTTAAATGCATTAAGTTTTGTTTTAATCTTTAGTAAAGGTCAACAGATGATAAAACTTCTTTGGGGTTCTTAATTTTTTGTAGTGTGAAAGGGGTCCTAAAGTCCTATTATTTGAAAACTACTGGTTTAGAGAAACTGAAAATTATCTCTAATTTTATGCACATTTATTCCTAAAGAACGGAAGGCAAGAATTTGAAGAGGAAAATTTGTAAATCTAAGATCACAAAATTGCTTTACCAAGACTGGGCCCTACCGAGCTGGTGCATTTTAATCCCCTTTTTCTGCTACTGCCTCCTTAAGGGAGGGAAAACTGCAGATTGTGAGAGACTAACATTCAGCGTTAGTTCCCACAGTAGTGCTGATATCTGGGTAACAACTGAGGTAGTAGACAAGGGCATAAATCTGACCAAAGAGAAGCTATCTCACATTGATCCCTCCCTCACACTGACTAAAATGGCTGTGGGTGACAGCCCACCTAAGCAGTAGCCTTATCCTCTAGAGGTATTCATTATAAGCAAGTTCAATGGCTAAAAAAAAAACACATCTTTTTGGCCCAGGGCCTTAGGTAGACAAAAGAAACATTTCTTTGGAAACACTGCAAAGACAAGTGGTTTCTCCAAGTTATTTTATTAGAATGTTTGACAAAAGGAACTACACAGAACATGGCTAAAAATGCTGTACACAGTTTATGCTTGACAGTTACGGGACACCTGCAGACACTGGATCCCAAGTCTAGATGGCAAGGTAACAAGAGGGCAAAGTAGCGGAGGGGGGCCGGGACAGTACCTGCACTGACTGGCCAGACCTCACACGAACAGATCCGGTCCCCACAGGACTGTACATCTTCCTGATTCAGGTGCAACTCTTCTCTCCTCTTTGCAAGAGTTAAGTGCCTCTGGACTCAGTCTGAATCACTGTCTGTCTCTGCTTCTTTCACATCCACGCTGAATTTGTATTCCTGGTCACATCCCATGTAAGCGTCACTCATGAAATACAGAGTGTAGTTGTGGGCGCCAGTGGCTGGGGCCACAAAGTCAAGCTTCACCTACAGAAAGCAGAAGAAATCCAGGTGAGCATGAATGCAGTGGGGGAAGAATTCTCACCCTGACCCCAGCTCAGAACAAATGCCAGGGCCAGCACACACTCACCTTGGCCTTCTGCTGCAAGGTCAGCCTCTTGATGGAGATGAGGCTATTGGACTTGGCATCGCCGATCACCACCCACCAGCCCTCTTCACGTTTCTGCAGGGACCAAAAGCCAAGAATTTCGGCATGTAAAACTTGACGGCCATGAGACCATAGGAATGATTATAAAAGCAGGAAAAAAAAGCCCAGACAGAAAGCTTTCTAAAATTTCCTCAATTTGTTATAACTAAGATTTCAAAACTATCGAAAGGTATCTCAAATGAACTCCACTTTTAAGTAGCAAATGAACTCATTGTGGGTTCTGGCTCATTTCCTTATTTGTTCCAGAATGTCTTCTCCCATTCAGTCCTTGTCACTGAATCCAAGATTCCACTATTAGAGATCTAGCCTTTGTGGCCAGGCAGCTGAGTTCTCAGAGATCCTTTTTAAGTAAACACATATGCCAGATAAGCAAAATATGTTAACATGGAGATAAGCTGCCGACTGAGAGGATCCAAAGCAGGCCTTGCCTCTATCGAAAGCCTCTCTGCTGGCCATTCCTGTCAGAAAGCCCAGGTGTTCGTTTAAAGCACTTTCCCCAGAGCCTATTAAACAACTAGTTTGTAAAATAATACAACGTATCTGGTTTCTGCTTTCAGTCTTCAATTACTCTCTCATATAAGGAATCAGACTTTTTTTTCTGGTGGTAAAGAACCAAGTAACTGGAAGCAGAGTGGGGGGTAGTGAGAGAGGAGAGAGAAGAAACACGGACTGGAACAACCCAAGTATCCCAGGGCCTTTAAAAACAAATGCATCTTAACAGTCATAGAGAATGACAATATTATAGAAGTGATGTCTTTAACAATGATCAGTCACCTACTAAATTGTTTTAAAGCAAAAAACAATCAACAAAACCACCCATGGCCCCAAGATTAATTCTCAGCTTTGTGTCTTGTCATGACTCTAAATTTCCCTTCCCCAGTGACAATGCACCCTTGAACTCTGTACTCTAGCCAATGGCTAAGGCCTCCAGAAGACACCTCATACCACTACTTAAAAACGGAGTTGGAGATTCCTTTTGACCATTTAAAAATCTTAGTTATATCAAACTGTCTTTCACAGGGACATTTCAAAAAGCTTTCTATTGGGTTTTTGTTTTTGTCCAGCTATGAAAACACACCTGTGGAAAGAGAGGTGCTATCACAGGGCCCGTGACCTCCTCCTCTCGCTCCAGCTGCACCAGCACCACAACTGGCCCGCCACTGTGGGAGAAGAGCAGGGCAGCACATCAGCAACGTGGCAGTGGGGTCAGAGCGCACTGTCATGTTGTGCCCAGCAGGGACCCTGGGGCAGGGCACCTGGCTGACCATGGCTCACCTGCGGATGCTGTCCTTATCCACCACTTCATAAGACAGCTCAATATTAGGGTAGCGGTTGCAGAAACGGGCCACGTCCGCGATCTGGCTGTCAGACAGCTGAAGCAACGCATTTCGTTCTTCATCTTCCAT